CAGTGACGATACGTGAACAGTCTGCGTTGTCTGAATGCAGCCAATGAGAGTGAGTTTCCTTGAATGCTTATTTTTCAGCTCAGGTTTTGCTGGGATTCTGCTGACGCTTTGCATGCGGTCGCTCCTTCCTTGCTGCTTGCAAAATCTACGGAAAAGCGTCAGTGCATGTTCATAGGGATTTTTTAATGCGTTTACACTGATTTCAATGGCAAACTCATCTACTAAAAGCCGCCAAGTATATGAGTGCACCCCACCCGTTCATGCAATGTAGGAAAATGCATGAGGTACTTGTTAATGACACCCCCAAACAAAACGTGTCTTTGCCCATGCGCACTTGCGATGCCATTACTTGTCAATGGCACCCCAAACAAGCTGATGCATCACAATTGTGTGGTCAACAAAAAAGTGTGAAGCTTGATGTTGAATCTTCTGCTTGAGCTGCTTGTCTCACGCAGGGCAGCCCATTGCAATAAATAGAATGTGATTTGACTGGCTGTCTGCGGCGTCACTATTTTGTCACAGACCTGCAACAAATATTCAGATCAATGGATATGACTTTCCTGGCCGCACAAGACCCCCGACAATGATAACTCGCATATTTCCCCTCTGACCAGTTTCTCTAACACTGCAGAACTTGTTTTTGAAGCTTCGGTCGCACCATTTGGCTGGAGCCATGGCGCCTCCAACATGAAATCGCATTGATTCTCTGCAAAAGCTGATTGTTTGTTTGCAGCTCCGCTGATCTGAACAATTGCATGTGAAGGGCACATTCCGGGAGACGCCTCCACATTGGCACAGCCGAGGCACCGAACATACAGTGGAAAAAATGAGGAGTAAATGATGATTCATAGAGCTGGAATTCCAGCCAAGAAGTTTCTTACCAGTAGGGGCCCCGTCCTAAAGGAAACATTTACTGAGAGAAGGGGGACTCTACTCCTTCCTCTATCCAACTCTCCTGATATACTCTACACTGCTGGAGGACTCTGCTCCTTCCTCCATCTAACTCTCCTCTCCTGAAATCTCTGCACTGCGCCGCTGTATAATGTACTATATTGCACACCACACTTTTTTTTTACTTCCACCGCGCCAAGCTTGCTCCGGTGATGGACTACAATCTCAATACAAACTAGTAGTCCATCACTGGAGCCTTTTTTTTTTCTTTTTTATCCGATTAACCGATTAATCGAACTTAATAATCGGCCAACTAATCGATTATGAAAATAATCGTTAGCTGCAGCCCTACTCTGCACTGCTGGAGAACTCTGCTCCTTCCTGTTTCTAAAGCTGGCCATACACTACTACATGCGGGCTGAACAAAAAAAGTAGAGGAGATCCCTCCATTTCTCACTGTACCCATATTTTGGGTGTTTGAGCCTGAAATGTAAATATAGACATATTTACTCTTCTCCGTTCCTGTACGTTGTGTTAAGGCATGCACGTTAATGTGCGTTGTGTTATTGTGCGCTGTGTTGGGGTAAGGCAGCTTATACAGAAAATGTGACGTATATTAATTTTCCTACTCGGCTGGTGGAACGTCTGCATACGTTGTGGTGCGCCGCAATGCATACAGTATGTGTCAAAGTTGCATCGTTTTAGTGCGTTGGGATGCGATTCAAAGTAAATGGCTCCATAACATGTTACAATGCATCGCAGTAACGGACCGCAGCACAAAAGGGTGTTTCGACCCTAAAAGTATTTTTTTGACATTCTTGTTATTCATATTTTTGTTATGTTTATTAACTGCCGGCCGTTGTGTATACACGGCCGGGAGCCTCTTGGATGTAACTTGGCGTGTATACACGCCCTGTTAGTCCCGCCCACTCGTGCGTGCCGCGCGCGTGAGGGAAAGACTCATAATTTAACAGGCATCGCTGACTGTTTTTTTATTTATTGTTTACAGCTTCTTCAGGGGGGCTCCTAGGTGACATTAGGGGTCTTGGAGGCCCCTGATGTCTCCATAAAGAGGACCTGTCACCTCTTGCTATCACATATGGTTTTCTTAGCCCCCTCTGTGATAGCAATAAAGTTAAGTGAAAAAACAAAAATAGGAAAAAAAATTAAAGGCCCCCCCCCCAAATTTTGAGTTACACATAAAAAAGAATTTAAAACATTTTAAAGTCCCCACCCCTACATACACGCATCTAAACATGTCAGGTGCGCATACCTGTGAAAACGACTATTACGCCGCACATGTTACATATCGTCGCAGTGAGAGCAATCATTTTGGGGTCATCAATCACTGATAACACTAAACTGATGAGCTGTAAAAGCCTTTAAAGCGTCACCTATGGTCAATTTTGGGTTTGCTATTTTTTTGCGATTTTCGCGAGTGCACGTAATTTTTAAGCTTGACATGTTTGGAGTCTATTTACCCGACGTGACCCCGTATTTTATATTTTACCAAAAAAGTGGGTAATACTAGTTGTTTTATAACATAATGTAAAAAAAAAAACGTGTTTTTTTTTTTTTTTTTTTCTTCAAAACTTTCAGTAATTTTTTTTCCTTACTATAGTAAAAATAAGAAACCCCCAGTGGTGATTAAATACCACCATAAGAAAGCTCTATCTGTCCCCCAAAAATGGTATAAAATTCATTTCAGTACAGCGTTGCTTGATGTAATAAATGTCAGTCAAAGTACCGCAGCGCTGAATACTGAAAAATGGCCTGGACAGGAAGGGGGTCTAAACACCTGGTCAGCAATTGGTTAAAGTTGAAGATTTTGTAGATTGGCCACTAGAGGGAGCAAACGCTTCATTCTGTCACTTGGCCAATGCAGAGGAACTGTGTTGCATTGCAGGGTGTCTAAATAAAGAGGGTACAACCTCCTGTTAGGTTTGTGTCCCACTGGGGACACTTCAACTACCTGCCGTGGAGACACAACAGGAAGTTAGAAAATTCCCCTATGAGTGTTGCCACTGGAACAGGTAAAGATTTTCCTAATTTCCTGTTCTGGTGACAGCAAAGTTTTGTATTTCCCATCACTTTCTGTGCTGATGACAGTGGCCACTAGGCCAAATAGACACGGAGAATCTCCCGGGGGGCACAGACCCTATTTAATCCTGACAGAGATTCTAACCCCTCTCTATTCCATCTAAAACTAGGAAAAAAAGGATTTGGCTTTTGATATTAAGCATAGAAATGTTAATGGATATGGATAAAGTGTGGCTCTGGGTTTGGGGGGCTTCTGGGCACACAGAGGGGACTTTGTGGTGCATCCATTGAAGTGGAGACAGGTTCACTTTAATGGACTGAGCCTCACCTGTTAGGGGTGGACAGCAGCTCTCCAACATATCTGCATGTCATGCACTGGGGATAAATATACCCATTGTATGTAGGAGGAAAGTCCCATCTAAATCTGGACCGTCGTGCCTGTTGCTGGGCGCGGAGGTTATATTAATACCGACACTCGTGCTGTAAAACAGATGCAACTTTATCTGTCTTGTGTGACAAATGCATAAATCCCGGTGACGTGGGTTTGTATGGGGACACCTTTCCGTGACCACAACAGAGAAAAACTGGAGCTATAACTAAAAAGCTGTCTAAGGTTTAATCTTCTATAAAACAGAATGTGATTGGCTGATTCAGCCTTGCCAGATCTCCCTGCCGTAATTCCTGGCTCTGTTCCTGCATGCTGGGGAGTTTGGGGTGTTCCTGTCTACCGCCGTGTGTTCCAGGTCCTCCTGTTGCATTATAGTTTTATAAATACAAATCCAGCAGGGATGGTGGGAGCGCTTCATAATGGGCACAGCAGGTGTACAGACCCAGGGACTTGGCACAGGGCTGGTGGGAACTCCTTATAATGGGCACAGCGGGTGTACAGACCCAGAAACTCAGCACAGAAATGGCAGGAACACCTCATAATGGGCACAGCAGGTGTGCAGACCCAGGATCTCAGCACAGGAATGGCAGGAACCCCTCATAATGGGCACAGCAGGTGTGCAGACCCAGGATCTCAGCACAGGAATGGCAGGAACCCCTCATAATGGGCACAGCAGGTGTGCAGACCCAGGATCTCAGCACAGGAATGGCAGGAACCCCTCATAATGGGCACAGCAGGTGTGCAGACCCAGGATCTCAGCACAGGAATGGCAGGAACCCCTCATAATGGGCACAGCAGGTGTGCAGACCCAGGATCTCAGCACAGGAATGGCAGGAACCCCTCATAATGGGCACAGCAGGTGTGCAGACCCAGGAACCCAGCACAGGAATGTCAGGAACCTCTCATAATGGGCACAGCAGGTGTGCAGACCCAGGAACCCAGCACAGGAATGGCAGGAACCCCTCATAATGGGCACAGCAGGTGTGCAGAGATCTCGCCAATAGAGTTCCTGAGAACGAGAAGATGGTGTTGAGGGATTTAACTCTATTACCACCAGTACCAGTGTCCTGATTGTCGGTGTTTGGTGGTTCAGTATGCACCAACCACTGAAATATCCATTATGGCTGACCCTTTGAGTTTATTTTCACACAAGAGGTGTAACATTTAAAAAAAAAAAAAAAGTTGCATATTTTGTAGCCATTTTAGATGCAGATAGTTCCGGATTAAAGTACGGTTAATCGGGGTTCAGCTGACCTGTGCAAAGGCTATTGCTGACCTTTGCAGACGAGACACTGGGTGTCATTAAAGACAGGACATCTTGTGGTGGAGATACTTTGGTGGACAAGTTGGGCTTTAGGTCCGGCTCAGCCAGGCATCTTATCATTTTTCTTCAGGAGTCCAGCCATGGCCGCTCCCATACTGCCCTCATGACAGTCACTTTAAATAACCTTCTGAATCTGGCCATCAACCCAATTCTGCGTCAGATTTGGGTTAACAGTCGTGATCTGTCAGTTTAGTCTCATGATAACTTTATCACGAATTGTTATTACTACACTGTGTCACGAGCGGAGGGGAAGTTGTGAAAAGTGTCATTTCCCCATCACACGTTTCATTTCAGCAGTGATCTTCATTGTGTATGATGGAGGCTGAGCCCTGTGATTGTGCCTGTGTTTTGTTGCAGTTGGGGCAGATCGTGGGGTACCCCTTCTACCTCGTCTTCTCCATATTCAAGAGGCTTTTCGGAAAGTCTGCGCCGGCCATCACCTTGGAGAGCCCAGATATTAAATATCCGCTGAGACTGATTCTCAAAGAGGTAAGTCCCCAACCACCCACTTGTTCATTCTTGTATGCTTTCCTCATATGTAGCGCTCACTTTTTATCCATGGCTCTATACCAAGCCTATTGGCATCAGTCCCCCAACAGCCTGGCTGGGGACTGAATCTTGACCACTTGACATGCAAGCTATGGGTGGAGTGTTGCTTTAATCACTCTAGAGAAGCCTACAGAATGTGTGAAGGTGACTATAGATTTTAGAGGATGGTTGTGCAGAGGTTTCAACAGATACAGCACAATGAGTGACCATTGTTATCCTAGAACAGGAAGAGTGTTCCTGGCAGGATCACCAGGTAAAAATAAAGTGGGGGGGGGGGGAAGAAAACTAATACAGCCACCACATCTAAGGGCTGGAAATATGATATTTGTTTGGGGGGTTTAGATGCACCTTAATGTGGATCTGTTGCTTTTCCCTGCATGGGCTCGCTTGAAGCACACACTCACTTTAGGACTCGCCATACCCAGGAGACTCTCCTGCAGATGATGATCCATTCCTTCAGATCTTCCATCTGATGTAATCTGAATGTGTTTTAATCCCAGGAAATCAGCCATGACACGAGGAGGTTCCGCTTTGCTCTGCCGTCTCCTGAGCACATCCTGGGTCTCCCCATTGGTGAGTTACTGAACCTTTTTACGCTCCAAAAAATACAAAAACGGTTTAACTTTTGGTTTTAATTTTTCGACTGCTTCAGAGAATTGCACGTCATGGGAGCTGTAAACGGCAGCACTTTTCCTGTATTCCCCTTCAGATCAGAAATCCCTGACCTTTAGGTGTGAGGTTCAATACAATGTCAGTACAAATTAGTAAACTAAACGTGAGATTGTAGTCCATCATGGGAGCGAGTTTGGAGCGGTGACTACTTTACAACACACACAGGGATCATGGGGAACAAAAGTAGCCCCCCTCCAGAAGGAAGGACAGTGTCAGCACCAATTCAGAGATGATTTGAGGACCTACAGCCGCGTGATACACAAATAAGATACATTTTTGTTTATAGTTAAGGTACTTGAATGTATTTTTAGTATGAATTCTGTTGCAAATCATCTTTCATTCGGTATTTAGGCCAACACATTTACCTGTCGGCCAGGATAGACGGGAATCTGGTGGTACGTCCCTACACCCCGGTGTCCAGTGATGAAAACAAGGGCTTTGTGGATCTGGTTGTTAAGGTGAGGGTCTGATGGGGATGTGGTTGTTGTGGGGCTTAGCTGGAAGCAGATAGCGGTGAGCTGACCAGTATGTGAAGTGCTGCAGTTGAAAATCAACCTTCAAATGAATGTAACCTCAAACACTATATGGCCAAAAGTATGTGGACCTCCCTCTCAAAGAATGAGTTCAGATGATTACAGTGAAGGGTACTGTTATTGCTAGGGCATAGAAAGACATGACGGAAGAGCACAATTGTCTGACCTTGTGAAATCAGTTTGCTGAAGATCACTTTCTGTTCCAGCATGACTGTTCCCTGTGTACAAAGCCAATTCCAAAGACATGACCAGCTTGGTGGGGAGGAACTAGAGTGTCCTTCACCGAGCCCTGACCTCAACCCTACTGAACACTTTTGGGATGAACTGGAACACCAATAGTGAGTCAGGTCTTCTCCAACATCAGTACCTGACCTCACAAATGTGTACAAATCCTCACAGACACTCCAAAATCTTGCGGGAAGCCTGCCCAGAACAGTAGAGGATGTTATAGCCGCAAAGGGGAGGAGGTGATACTCCATATTGATGGCCATGGTTTTGGGATGGTAGGTGTACACAAACATCTGGCCACATCGTGTGTAATGTCGGTTTATTAGTAAATTTGTATCCTTTTGTGGAGTTCTCCTTTTACTAAGAAACGTTCTTATTTGACCCAAAGTTACTGTTGTCATTCCACTCTAACGAGATCCTTTTTTATTCTAGATCTACTTTAAAAACATCCACCCCAAATTCCCCGAAGGAGGTAAAATGTCTCAGTATTTGGAGTCGCTGAGAACTGGGGAGACCATTGACTTCCGCGGACCCAGCGGCCTTCTGACTTACGGAGGGAAAGGTGACGCACTTTTTGTTTTGCTTTTTTTGGAGTTTCAAAAGTCATGTAATGGATGGCGTCACAGAGGTTGCCGCACCCCTTCCCTCAGCCTGACATACAGGAAGCTAATTTAAAGACAGGTTATGAAACTTATACTGGCTGTTTTAAGTACTACATAACTGCATCAAATGGTATTTTTGTTATGCCCACATGAATTCATTCTTTTAAAGAAAACGTTGCTAACTTCCTACTTCATTATGCCCATTGCCCGAGTGTCTCTGGCTCTCTGAACCACTGACTCCGTTGTAAATATCCCTCATCTCAGATTATACATATGTCCTATATGGTTTAGCTGTCCTGTAAGATGATGTGAATGACCTTCTGTCTGGGAATGCTGATTAGTTCTTATAACATTTGCTGAATCTAAATTTTCAGGAAGTTTCCAGATCCGAGCAGACAAGAAATCTGCCCCAGTCACGAAGAAGGCGAAGCACCTGGGAATGATCGCCGGAGGGACAGGTACATCTAGAGCAAGAGGGATTGCACTCATTTATGTAATTCCCATTGAAACCGATAACCAATTGGATTATCCATTTTGTGTTCGATCCTGTGCTGGAATTGTGAAAGTGAGAAGGAGGTTGCCACAGAAGTCATTGTGGGTTTTTTTTTTTTTATACATGAGAAATGGAGGATTGTCACACTTTTTATTCTGTGCTCTGGGTCCATTTCTTAAGGCCTTGTTCACACCTGGGCGTTTTGTAGCGCGTTCCTACGCTCTGCAAATCGCTCAAACACCGAAATCTTATTATTTCCTATGGGCATGGTTAACACCTGGGTGTATTACAGGCCGTATGAACGCCCTACAAGACACCCTACCCCCACAGAAGTACAGGTGCTTCTTTGGGGCGTATTTGCCGCGCGTATCCATTGGGATACAGCCGAATCGCGGTAAAAATGCGTGGCCCAAAACTCGCGGCAAACACGCATATTCGATACGCCTAGGTGTGAACTCAGCCTGAAGGCTTCTCTGACTCTCCTCTCTCCTCCTCTCTGCCTTTTTCCTCTCTCCTCCTCTCTGCCTTTTTCCTCTCTCCTCCTCTCTGCCTTTTTCCTCTCTCCTCCTCTCTGCCTTTTTCCTCTCTGCCTTTCTCCTCTCTCCTCCTCTTTCTCTCTCCTCCTCTCTGCCTTTCTAACCTCTCTATCCTCTCCTTTTTCTCCTTTCAGGAATAACCCCGATGCTACAGCTCATCAATGCTATTATGAAGGACAAGGATGACCATACAGTGTGCTATCTACTCTTTGCTAACCAGGTATGTAAAGTTGATGATTTGGGCCCCGGTCAATGCTGCTGACTAGCCAGTGGGGATCATGAGATGTTGGTACATTGTGTTTTATATTTTCAGCCTAGCCCTGCAGAGTGCTATGTAGACCCCATGCGCCCCCACCCTCCCAATTATCCTGTGTAATTCATGACTTTCTGAAAGCATCCAGAATATAGACACACCAACATTTTATATATCACAATGCAACACCTGGCACCTGAGTGACATATGGAGGGGCTTGTTGTCTGACTTTTAGAAAGTCCGCATTGGTACAGTGGGTTACATTAGGGGTTAGTACAGTTCACATGATGATAATGGTCTTGCTCTGACCAGCACAGTTTATGGTTCATACTCCGACATTTCATCATTCAAAGTTTATTTATATTGTCCATGATATTTATTACCATGTTTGTGTTGGGTTTGCAGATGGAGAAGGATATCCTGCTGCGAGATGATTTGGAGGAACTTCAGGTCAATCACGGCTCCCGCTTTAAGCTATGGTACACGCTGGACCGCGCTCCTGAGAGTAAGAAGCCTTTTACCTCATTATATACTCCCTAATGATCCATTATATACACGTAGAGGTCTGTTGTATAGAAATAATGCATAGTTATTGGACCAGCAAATCTGCATGTACATCCGCTCTGTGCACATTCACCAGCTGTTGTTAAAATTGGGCAAAATCGAATGTTCATGTAATTTCTCTTGTGGTCAAATATTCTAGGCAGTAATGAATCGGGAAATACTGCACTATGGCCACAAGATGGCGCTGAGGATCATAGGAAATAATTATGACTTGGTAAGAGATCCAATGGAACAATTCTAGAGAACACTGGATTGAATTGGCAGATAGCAATGGTTACATCTATTTACGCTCTGTTAATTCCTTTCAGCGTTCTCTAGAATCATTACAATGAATCTCTCAGCTATCATCGGCTCCACCCAGTGTCCATAATGCAGTATTTTCCTGACTCCATGGTATTCCCCTACGCTCCTCCTCAGAAGCTCCACTGTGCATTTGACCCTGCAGCAAGTCAGATAGAGCCCACCTCATTTCCTGGCTGAAGGACGTCCAGCATCGCCTAACTCTTTACTCCCCAGCCTGACTGTCCCTGGCCCGCCCCTTTTCATTTATTGGATTTCAGTTCTTTGAATCATGGAGGCTCAGCATCACATGTGGGCATTACCTAAGCCTGTCTGCATGCAAATGTATTCTGCCTAGGAGTGCCCACTCCAGAATGAAAAACCACCCATTGAGACGTTTTGGTATTTGCATAGCTTTTCCCAAGAGTCAGTCCACTGCTTGTATCAGGGCTGAGGACTCTTGAAGTACTGAGGCAGGGTGCTGTGATGGTTTCAGGAAGCTATGTACAGCACCCTGACGGGCCCCTCCTACCATCTATGATCTGCCTACATAGACAAGCACATAGACCCATTGATAAAATAAGGTATGTCATGAAAAAATAAAATGTTATCTTCATGTTGTTGACGGAGAAACCAGGGAAGGCAAAATATAAGCAGAAAATAAATTTTATTGTAATACTGTCGCTGACTCTTGTTGTTGCAGAGTGGAATTACAGCCAAGGATTCGTCAACGAGGACATGGTCAAGTCCTTCATGCCGCCTCCCGGGGATGATGTCCTGATCCTGATGTGTGGCCCGCCACCAATGGTCCAGTATGCCATAAACCCGAGCCTGGACAAGCTGGGCTACCCCCAGGACAGGAGGTTTGCCTATTAGTCCCCCGTGACCGTCCCCACCCCCCCCATCCTCCCACCAAGACCGTGATTCTGATATATGAGAAGGCAACGCCAGCTACCACCCTGGAGCAAGTGTTTCACCACCAGCCTTTCTCAGTGCGCCACCTTGTCAGTGTATCCACATATTCAACAAGTTGTTTGTTTGGTTTGCTTCTTATATTTTCTTCCTCGTATGACACACAGACACCAGGGTGACCCTTACAAGTTATCAGTCTGATCCAAGATGGTAAACCGGGGTGACATGGGGGGGTAATGTATATTGGAGGCACAGGGGGGAGGTTGGGCAACTTGTCCAGCCTTTGATCACTTGGTAACATGAGACTAACTGCTTCATGTCAGTTGGCTGATTTCAATGCATTGCAGGTGAGGCAAGTGGTGAAGTCTCTATGGTAAGGGATTATAAATCACGCGTTTACCTCCAACGGCAATCGTTTTGTGGTGTTTAGGTAGGTTAAAAAAAACAAAAAACCTGTGATCTGTGTAATGGGCAGGACTAGACCGGGATGTTGATGTTGAAGGTTTGTTGGTCAGATTGTATTTTAAGTCACAATTTATGTTTAAAGTTATTACATTTAAAACCCCACAATTTTATTTTTATGTCGGTCACAAAGTTTGGGTTTCTTAAAGTGGATGTTATCCCTAAAACTATTTTTTTAGTATGTTTGGCAACATGCCTCACTCTATATAGTTGTGTGTTTGTTTTCTTCCCTTTGTGAATCTGTTGCAAAGTTTCTTACCGGGAGATCTTGCCAATCACATCACTTCCTATTGCAGCCTGGCAACGCTAAGGCCCCATTCACACTTGCCACCCATCGTGCGTCGGCACAGGACAGCCCATACGTTCACTGGGTTGCCCTACGGGTGGCAAAGAAGTTTGAGCTGCAAGCTTTGTGCATTTCTTGGCTGCACGTTTTGTGTGTGTTGCTCGATGTGTTAACAATCATGGCACTGCAAGCACGAGGCTTTTTGTGAATATACCTTTGCTGCTGCTTTGGGGTGGCAGCATGGTTGTCAGCCTGCCCTGTGAGCTCCTTCAGTTACCCATTGGGTTGCCTTTCTGATGGACCTAATCAGCCCAACAGCCACCTGAAGGAGCTCACATGACTGGCTGACTACGCTGCTGCTAATTGCATGGCAGTGGATTAGCGTTGTCAGGCTGCCACAGGAAGTGCCGCGATTGGCAGGATCTCCAGGAACGAAACTTTGCAACAGATTCACTAAAAGGAAAGATTTGTTTAGGAAAACTGTACAGAGGAAGGAATGATGCCAAACACACGGAAAACTAGATTAGAAGTCACAGTTTCTGTTTAAAGTTGTCACGTTTAATGGTCCACAATTTGAGTCCCACATTTGAGTTTCCTAATGGCTTGACCTTCTGTCTCTCCAACTGCTGCAGAACTGCTTGCAATGCATGCTTTGTCAGACAGCATAGCATGCTGGGACTTGTAGTTCCACCCTAGGAGGAGAGATCTAGGCTGCACCATTTTTATTTGAGATTGCTCAGGCGTGGGTTCGTCCTGACAGTTGATTATATGAAGTGTAAACACTAGCGCTATTTCCACAATGGCTGACTTGTATATGGATTTAAGCGGCTTTTGCTCTTGGAATGGATCTCGCCGGATGTTTAATCCGCGTCTTGTTCTGTCCGTTTGCCCTGCACTGTGCACTGCGCTTGGCCTCCTGTACCCAAGAAAACTCTGTGGTACCCAGAGCCACCAGTCAGGCTGCACCAACCACATTCCCTCTGCTGATATCTGAATGTTAATGGCTGTGAGTTGGCTGTGGGTAACACAGACAGTCCATATTTCACACCACTGAGGTCTCATCTCTCAGCACTAGGCTGCTGTCTCTTCTATTTGCACTATAAAGTGTCTCCTGTCCGGCCTGTGGCCCCCTCGGACATCCTCTTTGCAGCATAACTTTGCCTTTCCGGAGGTCTGTGTACAATGTATTTTTTATTATCGTCTCATGAATATAAAGCACTTTTGAGAATGAGTTTCAATTCCGAGTCTTGTCGTTCTTTTTGGCTTGCAGTCGCTGTGAGAATGAAGGAATGGTGGAACTGGACGCGGTACGTTGTGTTGGGTTTGACAGATCAAAATCTGACTATCCGAGTACAGGGAGGGCCTAACTAGACGGACCGTTCACATTTTATCAGTCAAGGTGACATTCATTGTACAAGAGGCAGCTATAGGAATTAGAGGACAGTCAGACATGTGGGCTCACTGCCCCCAGACAACTGAATCCTCTGCTGCTTCCATAAGTGCCAATGGTTGCATCATGTGACCAATTATGACTACCCCATAGGACGGGGAGATGTCACAGCCAGTCTTCCTGTTTGTAGATATGTTCCTTCAATTCCTGTCTCGGTGACTAGTATAGCAGAATGGTTGGGATAGCAATGAGGACTGATCTCCCCCAACATGCTGTAGTACCTCCCCTTTTGTTTTTGGTCTTCATTCTAGAAATGCCTCCTTAGTGGTCACTGAGACCGGAAGGGCGAGGGACACAAAGAAACTGGCCCGGTTCTGAACCTTTGCCTCTATCCAAAAAAAAACAAAAAACTTTAAAGCTGAACTCCGGGCAGATAAAAAATACAAATTAACACAGCTCTATAATAGTAATTGTGTGTTTTTTATTTATATATGCAAGCAGGTTAAGTACCTGTATTGGACTTGGCCTCTTGTACTCTACTATACAGTAGAACGTGAGGGAGGAGCAGCACAAGGAGCCAGTTAGGTGTGCTGCAGTAGAAAGGGCATGTGGATAGGAGGAGAGGGCAGAGAGATGATTTTATTTCACTGTCCAGTCACAAGAAGAGAAGGTGACCTGTAAGTGAAAGTGCAGCAGAGAATGGTGTGTGTGTAAATTTAGCTGGTGCCCTGGAGTTTAGTTTTTAAAACTAAACTTCTATTTTGTTTTTAAGCCTTCATCTGCTGTCTACATACAGATGGAATATAATATCTTATTTTACATAAAACCATCCTCCCCCCCCTTTTTTTTTTTTTTTTTTTTTTCTTTGGATGGTTGATAGTAAATGGCAGCAGAAACATGAAGGGGTACATTTTATAAAGCATTCAATACAATGATCACAAAACCTTCATTGTGGTGAATGAATCACTCATTTAAAACCTATGCAACAGGAAAGGTCACCTGCAATGACTGGTGAATGTCACATTCTCCGATCATTCACTGATCTTACATTTACCTTTTTCCCTGTGGCTCTCGCGTCCATCTTTCCTTGTGGCTCTCGCGTCCATCTTTCTTTAGCTGGTGCAATATTTGGCAGAGCCACATTCACGTGTCTGTTGCCACGATTGGCGGACACTTCTTTTCTGCTTTGTTACATTTGGGAAATATTTGAACAGATTGGCCCAGAAGATGGAGGGACGATTCTTGATGATAACTGTTACAAGACGTATCATTATGTTGGTCGTTTTATTGGTAAAATGGATGTATGAAGACCTTGAGAAAGCGTTATCAATCTACCCGTATTGTTACTTTTTAAAGGGGGGCTGGGAGAGAGCACCCCCCTGAAATGATGGCAGATAGCAAAGAAGCTATTGCTTCCTTTGCTATCTGCAGACTTTTTTTTTTTTTAGTATTCTGCCAGTTGCAGTCGTCAGAATAAAAAAAAAAAGAGCAGATTGAACCACTCTCCCGGGCGGCTAGGAGAGTTAGGCTGTGTACTCCATCGGTTAACGAAGGAAAGGGGGAGGAGTCCAGTGATGTCACGGCCATCGACGTCACCGGACTCCTCCCCCCTTCCATTCGTTTATGGACAGAGCCACTTGTGGAAGGGGGGAGGAGTCCAGTGACTTTGCGGACATCGACGGAAGACCCGGAAGCCGGCGGAGAGGTGAGTATGAATCAAAAGAACTTTGATCGATCAAAAAAATTAACGATTAATCGTTAATTTCCGCAGCCCTATTACTTTTACAATGAAAACTGCTCTGCACGGGAAGACGACTTTGAGATACCCCGCCAATATGTGCAGGTACGTATCCCCCCTGTGGTAAGTGTACACGGATATTGTGGACACGCTAGCTTAGGGGTAACCAAACTCTTGCCCTCCAGCTGTGGTGAAACTACAAATCCCATGATGCATCTCTCTCCGGGAGTCATGTCTGTGGCTGTTAGAATCTTGCAATGCCTTATGGGATTTGGGGTTCCACCACAGCTGGAGGGCCGGAGTTTGGCTACCCCTGCGCTAGCTGAACACTGAATGTTACCATATTGCTCCTAGCAATGCTTAGCATGTAACATGCAGTTTCTCCATGCAGCCACTAGGTGTCAGCCTTGTACAGCTGTGAACTGCACAGAGCACATACGTCAGTCTTTTTGTAGAAATTAAGTAAGTCCCTTCTGTCTTTTGGGGTAAAAAGAAGCCATTGCATGATTTTAAATAACGTAACTCGTTGTTGCCCACAAGGGTTCATTGTCTGAAGGGGCTTGCCTTTCCTAACAGACGCTTGAAAATATGAATGGCCTGGTTTGCTGACGCACTATGGGCCGTTCTGAGTCAGTCACTGAGCTGGCACAAGAAGGGAGATCTGGGATGTTGGAATCAACTTGGTGCATGTGTATGAAACTTCCACTGCAGACCTGGTGAGGCTGATTTACTAAAAGAGGTCAGAAGCTTTACTAACAAATGTGTAAAAAAAAAAAAATATATATATATATATTACACACAATTATCCAATCACGTGAAAAGTAAATTCCTGTTCACTGCGCTACTCAGTCGTGTGCAGATACCGTTCACATGATTGGATGCTAAGTAAATATTGATACAGGTTTCAACTCCTTTAGTAAATTAACCCAAATCTCTTGAAATTTAGTAAATGGAAGCGGCACTGGTACACAATATGAGGAGCTGAGGGTATTTAAACATTACAATGTTTGCAACAACAAAAAACAACTAATGTTCACACCATGTCTGGATCAGATCTGTGCAGTGCATTTATTGCCACAATTTTGTTTTAATAGCTTAAAATGGGCGTTCAGGTGCAGTCCAGTGCATTTTGTATGTGTTTTTGATGTGTTTACATGCATTCTGGACCAGAAAAAAAAAAAGAGTAGCAGTATTTTGCTTTTTGGTCTAGGTCGGAATGGACTGCGCTAGTGTGAACAGAGCCCAGAAATACCATAAGGATACTTTTTTCTTTTGTGGGAACAAACTGTTCTGGTCCGGACATGGTGTGTACAGTCCCTGAAGCTGAACTCCAGGAAAAACAAATGTCTAAATAATAAGAGGTGTGTGTATTCTTCTTGAATCTCGGGAAGCTTTGTGTATTCCGGATCTGTGCAGTCATCCAGTGTGACACTTCCTGTAATAAAGACCGCTCACTGCTCTCTTTCCTTGTGCAGGTCTGGTCTCTGCCCCCGCCTGTAGTTATCAATAGTGGGTGCTGAATCCCTCTGCAGAGTGATAGTCACTACAACTTTTACAAAGTAATAACTCTTTGCAACTTCATTAGGTGCGCACACACAACAGATTGATATCCTTTGTGGCCATCAAGGAATATATTTACGTGAAAGTTTTTGTGGCTGGCGTTCGCCTTTAAATAATGACTGGTGGAGGAAATGCTGGTCTCTCCCATCACTGTATACAAACTATCAAAGGGACACCCTGTCATCATTTTATTTGTTTGTAACATTTTCTAGTGATGAACATATACAGTTGTGCGAAAGTGTTGGCCCCCTTCCTGATTTTTCATTGTTTTGCACATTTGTCACACTTTAATGTTTCAGATCATCAAACAAATGTAAATATTAGTCAAAGATAACACAAGTAAACACAACATGCAGTTTTTAAAGGAAGGTTTTTATTAAGGGAAAACAAAATCCAAACCCACATGGCCCTCTGTGAAAAAGTGTTTGCCCCCTAAACCTAATAACTGGCTGGGCCACCCTTAGCAGCAAGAACTGCAATCAAGCGTTTGTGATAACTTGCAATGAGTCTGTTACAGCGCTGTGCAGGAATTTTGGTCCACTCATCTTTGCAGAATTGTTGTAATTCGGCCACATTGGAAGGTTTGAGCATGAACCGCCTTTTTAAGGTCATGCCACAGCATCTCAATAGGATTCAGGTCAGGACTTTGACTAGGCCACTCAAGTCTTCATTTTGTTTTTCTTCAGCCATTCAGAGGTGGACTTGCTGGTGTGTTTTGGATCATTGTCCTGCTGCAGAACCCAAGTTCGCTTCAGGTCACGAACAGATGGCCGCACATTATCCTTCAGGATTTTTTGGTAGACAGCAGAATTCCTGGTTCCATTTATCACAGCAAGTCTTCCAGGTCCTGAAGCAGCAAAACAGCCCCAGACTTTCACACTACCACCACCATATTTTACTGTTGGTATGATGTTCTTTTTCTGAAATGTGGTGTTACTCTTACGCCAGATGTAATGGGGGACATACCTTCCAAAAGGTTCAACTTTTGTCTCGTCAGTCCACAGAGTATTTCCCAAAAGTCTTGGGGATCATCAAGATGTTTTCTGGCATAACGGAGACAAGCTTTTATGTTCTTTTTGCTCAGCAGCGGTTTTCTTCTTGGAACTCTGCCATGCAGGCCATTTGTGCCCAGTCTCTTTCTTATGGTGGAGTCATGAACACTGACCTGAGGCAAGTGAGGCCTGCAGTTCTTGGATGAGTGGTCGCTGCGCTCTTGGGGTAATTTTGGTTGGCCGCCCACTCCTGGGGAGGGTCACCACTGTTCCATGTTTTCGCCATTTGTGGATAAAACTTTTTTTCACAGAGGGCCATGTGGGTTTGGATTTTGTTTGCCCTTAATAATAAAAACCTTCCTTTAAAAACTGCATGTTGTGTTTACTTGTGTTATCTTTGACTAATATTTAAATTTGTTTGATGATCTGAAATATTAAAGTGTGACAAACGTGCAAAACAATGAAAAATCAGGAAGGGGGCCAACACTTTCACACAACTGTATAAAAGATTTATTTATAAACAATAACATTACTAAATATTATAGGTTCCCAATAAGGCAAATGCTACACACAGAACAGATATTCCATATAATTGCCAGTCCATCATTTATTATTAGTAGTCCTCTCTCCATTGAAGTCTGCAGACAACAAAACTTACTAAAAGGTTTGCAATTTGGTTTCCTTGCATCCACGGCTGCTTGGGTTGGGAGTGTTATGGGCTGTGCCCCCCATCTCTTGCATCTAGGAAAAACAGTGAGCTAATCACAAAGTCTGCACAGAACTTGGTTAAATAAGAAGCATGCCCTGCTCTATATATTGCAGGTATTTATGTAGCACCGACAATTTACACTGCACACATTTCACATCAGTGCCTGCCCTCAAGGAGCTTACAATCTAAGGTCCCTATCTCACACACATACATACAGAGACAATTTAGACCGGAGCCAATTAACCTTCCAGCATGTCTTTGGAGTGTGGGAGGAAACCAGAGTACTCAGAGGGAACCCATGCCAGCTCAGGAGGCAGATCATGCAAACTCCTTAGTTTTTCTGCAGCAAGGCTTCCACCCGTGCCGATATTAGAACACACTGGGACAGTAGGTAGACCTTTTTATTAATATGAGGAAGTGCATTGATCTACAAGGTAAGAATCTACAATGAAGTGTTGCTCAAATTCTCGCCATGTATACAACCTTCTTGAAGAGGAACTTTTTTTTTTTAAATAGGGTGTTTTGCTTTAAAACTGGCTTCCTTAATCAGACTGACTGGCCCCTGAATACCGATATATTATTGCAAACCCTTCATGATACACGGATCAATACTCCCCGCCCTATAGAAACAAATAGGGTTCTGCACAGGCAGTGGAAGAAAAGGATGGCTGGCCGCATGTACACACTGCAGCGGAACCACGGGGGACCCGATTCTAGAATGAGATAAGTATGCACTGGAGGAAAGAGAGGGTGGCTTAGATAAGCACAGGGGATTCTTACACTGTAAAGTATAACTGCAAGTAAATCTGTGCAGGGAGAGCCCCACTGCAAGGGGTTAAATGCTCTTTTGTCTAGAGGACATTAATAAAAGCTGTTTTTTTACTTACCTGATCCTCATTCCCATCGAGCTGCTAGGCCGATCCCCGTAGCCTCTCGCCTGCTGGGTCTAGTGGTCTATGTCCCGCTGATGTCATCAGGTGTACTGCAGGTCCATTGACTTGCATTAGGCGCGAGGACGCCGATGGACATACCACAGCTGGAGCAGAGGGGAAGGGAGGTGAACACTGACCGATGTAGGATTGAGGATCAGGGGAGTATATCTGCTTTATCTGCGTCCCCCTAGACAAGACGGGCACTTAACCCTTGCATTACCAGGGTAGACCCTCTGCAAGGGTAAGGTTTTGACTCTCCAAGAGTTCTAGAAGTAACATTGTTTCGGAAATCCTAAACTAAAATGTGAATTTTGTATTCCATTTCCTGAGGATTGTCTCCTTTAAAGCTTCCAATGTCAGTTAATGAGAGGGAGGGGGGGGGGGGTTTGCAG